AAGGACTGGCTGGCTGGATACAGTTTTCCAGTCTCGACCTCACCAGAGATGTATATAAGGAGGTGAAAATATCTCTGGTGATTCTGGTAAAGGCTCTGAGAATTGCCCATAAGGATCTGAAACTACGTGCAACCACCGCGCTACAGTGCGCCGTAATTTTTAAATCGTGACTTACTGTAACACCTAAGTGCAAATGACTTTGAACTGACGGGAATATTACTCTCTGCGGTTCGTGGGAGCTGATGCTTGCGTATCTGATGCGTATATTCGCACATCTCGCTACATTCATCGGGAGCTTCCATTCCCTGGACCACCCTGACTATTTGTTGAGGTCTTCTTGCAACGTGAGCGTAGCACTGTCGTGCTACAGCTCTCTGTAAATTCATGAGTCATCTGCATAAAAAAGCATAGGGGAATCCGTGAGCAGAGATAACTCAGTGATACACAAAATAAATAGGAGAGGTTCGAGCACCGTGCCTTGCGGCGCTCCGTAGCGCACTGTTGTCCAGGTGGAGAGCTTCGAGTTGATCCTGACCCTCTACCTCCTATCTCTGAGTAACTTCCTGATCCACTTTAGTAAGCTGCCTTTAATACCAAGACTTCCCAACTTCATGAGCAGTCTTTTGTGAGTAACTTCATCGCAGGCTTTGCTGAAGTCTGTGAAGACGACGGGTCTTCTGTTGTCCCTTGATTTAACCCAGCTTTCTCTTGCAGTGAAAAGATTAGTCTTGATCCTCGTATGTAGAAGGGAGTTACTATGGCATCTCCCCAGTCACGCGGCAACAACTTATCTGGGAGGGATAGCTCGAAGAAAGTGGTCAGTGGGCTGGCGATATGAGCTGATAGCTCTTTGAGAAGCCTTGAAAGAAGATTATCAGGACCCATTAATTTCCCTGCATCTGTTTTCTTTAGGCACTTGAGCACGATTTCTTGGTCGGTGTCGGTGGAATCTATCCCGTCTTCCTCCGATGCAAGCAGAGTCGACACAAATAGTTGGCGCCTTTAACCAGAAAAGATTCAAGGAGGAAATGAAGAACGATGGCGCGAGAAAAGCACGTAACTAAAAACACGCATCTAAAGATGAACATATGTGTCCTACTCCAAATACTTTTTCTCTGCCTCTGGTACCTTTTTTGCTCGCCCCTTCTGTTGTATTTACTTTGTAGTACAAGTTGCATTGATCTACATTCCGACTGAAGCTGAGAAACAATTGAAGTCACTTACTCATATATCATCCCTCAAGGTTTGGCTAGTAATGGCTCAGCATCCTTGATGAAAACCACTGTCACCATAACAAGACGCTGTACAGCATCTTATACAAGCACTGTCAACGATCTAATATGGTTTTTATATAGCTTTCTACGCGTTTATCAACTTACTCGTACGGAGCAACCATGCTGTGACAAATGGCGGGCTATGGGTGACTTGAGCGCAGTAAAACAAATCTGCTTGACAATGACCAATATTAATCTGCATTCAGTTGAATTCACATCTGGTATTACTTGCAAAAAAATGTTGTCAAAATCATAAAAATTAATCACTCATTTTAAATTAATACACAATTTGAACATAAAACAAGATACGATGCCGCACACAACAAAGTTATATGGAGGAATTGACTTCGAGCTTTATTTTTTCCCAAATATTTGTAATTTATCCGACACATACTTGGGTTATTTTGTTAATGCGAAGACAATATTTCTATATTTCTTTATGTGCTCCATTGAACGACTAACTATCAGAATGTGCTCACTAACTGATATCAGAGAGGACAGCAACCATGTAATTTCACTATAAATCAAATTCATGTAATTTAAATAATACTTATCCATGCCTGTACAACTGGTGTGTCCTACATTGATAGGAAAAAAAATACAAGTATCAGAATGGCAGGCAACACGTTAACCTTCTCTCAGAAGTTTTCAAGTCATTTAATCATCTTTGTGCTTTATTTTATATTACTTTCACATATTTTCAGGTATTTCAAGGAAATTTCGACACTTCGGACATCATCTTTGATTGGCAAATTTCTGCAATGGCTTTGTTCCTAGCGGTGTTGCATAGTTTTCTGGTCTCAGGAGTCTCAGGTGTGGTAAACAGGTTCCAAGACTTGTGTTTACGTCTGCGTAATTTACGGATTTCTTGGTTTATCTAAGGTGGGCGACGTTCCTGACCCTTCGCGACAGACCAAGGGATGAAAGGCCCAGTTACTTGGACGTAAAGTTGTTTAAACTGGTTTCCCCCAAGAAAAAGCACATAAAACTAAACTCACAGTTCGCCTCTAGCCCCTACGTATCGCTAAACTCACTTAAGTCTATCCATAACTTAGCTATAATCCTAATTCTTCCATGAACTAATCACATTCTAACCATTATTTGTACCTAATGCGATACTAGTACAAACATAACCTTGATGGGAAATGATTACCATCCAGATGAATAACAACAGTACTATGAGAAATTTGGAACTGTTCTGGCAGCGTTGTAAAAAGGGCGTCCTCTGTTATGTCTTTGCACTTTGCTCTAACCCTGCTCTGATTTAAAATATTATGGTCATAGGTGCGTTCAGTCGTGTTGGTGTCTGTTCATTAATCCTCTGAACGTGAATTCAGTTCTGAATACGGACGTGTCACGGTGGTTATAGCAGTCATCCTTGTTACTAAAGCTGCTATCTGTTCTACTGCAGCTATTTATATTGGTGAATAGCATGTGTCGGCTGACATAGTTTTCCAACAACCCAACATCGTTCACACACTTTCCTGCTGTGTGGGTCGGCTGTAAAAGTTACACCCGATCTTACAGGTTTATAACAGATAACGTTGTGAAGATGGAAGCTAATATGCCTGCCGTTGATATGCAGACCGTGTGCACATAAATGTTCCATGTCAGTGACCACTGGCATCAAAAACTCATTATGAAAGCCACCAAAAACACCAAAAAGGAATATATAGTAAGAAATGGTTTCACCAGTCTAGAAAATATCAGCCAGACTCTCTGTGTACCATTGTTGAATTGTAACAGCCTTTCAGACTGAACTCATTTTTCACCTTCAAGATTGTCGTTGGAGCAAGACACCTGAAGGTCATTTTCATCCATGTTAGTCGGCCATGTTGGATTGCAGTTCCATGACCATGCGTTTACAAATTGGTTTTTACGTTTATCCTGCATCTATTCACAACTTATCTTGATGCACATTGTTCACAAATTTCGCGTTTCACCTCATTTTTGTTTCCGTTGCTGTTGAAATTAATTATTTCGTTGGTTCCAAAAGTTTTTACGACCAGGTCAGTGCATTCGTTTCATTGTTATTGTTTCGTATGTTACTTTCATGCATGGTTTCAGTGTTTTAGTCGTTTCTCAGCTGTTTATGAAACAGCACTGTATAGAAAATTTGGAGATTATGGACATGAACACGTTTGGGTGGCAGAAGTTGTTGTTTCCAGTTCACTTGTTGATTGCCGTTATTGTTACTGGTTCAGTTGCTTACTTAACATGTAGAAAACTGGAAAAAACAATATCTTTCAAGTTCATGTTTACAGCATCCAACAATCTACGAGTGAATCTGATGTACAGAGGACGATCAGACTTGATAATAGGAAGGTTTTCGAAGAGCATATTAAACCTTGAGAATTTAAAACCTGGGTTGAAGTTGAAAAAGCTTTAAAGCTTTTCGAGAAGGTGTATACACCATCAGTGTGTCTATCATCAGCTAAAAATCAGATATATTGTGAGGAAATCTAAATCAAACAAGGTTGAGCCACTTGAGAAGTGTGAGTCTGTTGTGTTTGTATGTATTTTCGGGAACAAAAGGAAATTGGAAAGCAATCAGAACCCTCTAAAGGCTAAGTGTTACCTATTTTTGTTATTGCCCGATATACTAGACCCAAATACATAAACTAGGACTGCCTGTAGTAAGGCAAATATTGACTGTTATTCAATTCGTTGCAGAACGACGTGAAAAGCGGATCACATACGATGATCTGGTGAGTGAACGAACTATCTTAAGGTATAACTTTGATTAGCGAGAATAGCGTTTTGGGTTGTGGTCTACAATCAGTGGTTTTCTCGAAGTTACAACAAGCTGAGAACCTGGTCAGTATTTGAGGTGAAGACATTGGCTGAGTACAAATTGCTTGTTTCAGTTCAAATAGTGAAATTCCTATTTTTGGATGTTTGTGATTTCTCCGTGACTACAAATACGGATTTCCATGATTTTTTTAAAAACCTTAAATAAATTTTCCTTGAACCACTAATCTTCTTTTTCTAGGCGGCTTTGGAGTATCGAACAGTACAGAATTACTATTCAACTTGTTGAATCCACAATCTCAGCAATGTCTAGTGGACATAGTCTTGTGTATCCTACAGAAATTAAATTCTCATATTTAGGAAACTATAGCCACCAAATATAAGCTGAACTTGCCTGAACTCCAATCAGCAATGCACAGTGTTAACAGCCACGATCACAGAAACACTTAAAATATTGCAAGATAAACAGACCTGCTGTGCTGATGAGAATAACAATGTCATATAATGCAACCTAGACATTCAATCGTGATGCTGCATCTGTACAGGGTCACGTAAATGGAAATTTCAGGAGAAATTCATCTCCACTCTTGGTGATCAAAAATATTGCAGCATTAAGTGTGCAGTGTCAATAGGAATGGAATAACAGACAGTGGATTGCGTTGGAGTTAGGTCGAGGAAAGATTCGGCTTAGCCTCAGGCTTAGAAAACCTGATATAATTGCTCTGTTTGCATTCCATTCCAAAACTGAGCGGAACTGTTGTCACACACCAGAAAAATATATTTTGGTTAACGATTTCAGTACTTTAAATTCATTATTTTCGGAAATACATGTATTTCATGCTTTTTTTCACATCTTCATTTCGGTGCTTGAAGTCTAAATTCATCAGGAATACCAGTCAATTTTTACCTGAAATCCGTTCATTTAGTAAAAAGTATTGAATTCACAACGTTAGGTCAAACTGTGTCCTTGAGCATGCCTTAACCCCGGCCCTCAAGGTCACGCAATATTCAAGCTGATCTTTACTCACACACGTGCTATGATTTAACAAGCTTGTTTTTGTTCAAATGGTATTCAAAGATCACGGAAAAGTTGATGATGATAAGGTAGATAATAAAAAGCATCGACCACGTAAAAGTGGACGTAAAGCTGAGAAGAAGGAACCTCGCGATGAAGAATCAGCCAGAAAAAATAATCCCAAGGCCTTTGCTGTTCAGCATACAACTAAGGCATCACGTCTAGTGCAAAGAACGCTTGATCACCAGACTAAGCGACACCATATATTACACTCCAGATATGTGTCTCAAGTACCCGCACCGTACGTAGTTGCAGTGGTTGGACCTCCGAAATCTGGTAAAAGCACACTTCTACGTGGCTTGTTAAAACACTTCGCGCATTTATCGCTTGGTGTTCTGAAAGGTCCAGTGACAGTAGTTGTTGGTAAAAAAGAAAGATTCACTTTTATCGAATGTGGATGTGATATCAACAGTATGTTAGATGCTGCTAAAATCGCTGATGTAGTTCTACTGCTTGTAAATGTTCGTGCTGGACTTGAAATGTATCACTTTGAATTCATTAATATGGTACAAGCACACGGAATGCCAAGAGTCATTCCTGTTTTAAACCATTTGGATACTTTCAAAGATTCTAGTTCTTCGCGTGCATTGCGAAGGAAGATAAAACATCGTTTATGGACGGATCTAAACTCAAAGATTTTTCTGCTGTCACGTTTTCAGCCAAAGAAATGTGAGTTGTGCTTAGTTATATCTGTGTTTTCGAATATTTAACCGCATGTTACTGATTCGTAGACATTTGAAGGGTTTATTTTCTGACTACATCTTATTTTAGAATGCAGTCAGTTGCAGAACCCTATATTGCACTAAAAATAACTTTAAAAAGTCGGGTCATGAGAATCTATTTTTAGTTAGGCATCCATTGAGTACTTAACTCTGTCTATTAATGTGATTGCCTGTATTACTGTAGTAATTGTTTTTTTTTTGTTACGTCAGGATACTCCGGAGTATCGCAAATGTTTCTGACATCTGCGGAGTAATCAAGATAGATGACTAAAAACTCAACTGTACGCCACATGCGTAATTGCCGCATGCCACGTGCTTCTAGGTCATCTCGACTCTAAAAATTAAAATTTTTCTAAAAATGCCACTCGAAAATCAAGTTCCTGTTGGCTGTTGTATGATAGTTAAACCCTGCTAAGCAGTTATGGCTTATACAGAGAAAGGTTGAGAAAAATCTTGTTTTGAGTTTTTTGAACACTAGGATCATTTTAAGTAGTTTAATAAAGGTTAACCCAATTTAGTTTATTTCTGATTTTTTAATCACTACCTTCTTAGAAACCTTATTTTATGAGTAGAGGTTTTCAAAAGTTACCGTACGTTATCGAGATTCTATAATTAACTTTTCACATCATGTTGGAAAGGAACATAATCGCAAAATACTATAAATATTAGACGAAGTGAATTACGTCATGTCATTAAGATTTCATTGACTGATTTCCTGCGTTGGTTTAACCACCACTAGTTCTTTTGCAACTTGATGCTATCTCAGCTAAACATGACCGTCAAGGAATGTGTAGGGGACTTAATAGTGAGCTCAGTAACGGAACAAATATTTGGATTAAAATCCGGGTTTAATGAAATGATTATGTAACAGCATATTATATAAATATACATACTGAGTTATAAATTAATGGATGCGTCGGTGGCATAGCGGTAGAGTGCTTGCCGACCACGCAGGTGGTCCGTTGTTCGATCTCCGGCCAACACACTCCTTTACCTATCTAAGCCAATTGTAAGACTGGCAAAGAGGGAAGGTTGGGCATGAGATTAGCAGCCGCATCCTGTAAAAATATTCATGACTGCTACAGAAACTTCAAGCCCCTAGCCTGAAGCCCTATGTTCCACTGGGATCGTAAAGGAATAAAAAATTAATAAGTTAATTGTATTTGGTGATATAGTTAAAGTGTGTTGCTACAAACTATTAGTGTAATCCACAGAAATGTTCATTGCTGGAGTAGTGTCCACTAGTAGAAGCTGTGCACTGGTTGTAGAATGGTCTTCGAATAAGGATGAGAGGTTCCTGAAAAATCCAAGGGATACAAAACGGTTATGAGTGAAGCAAGTGGACAGGATGGACCAGTGAGAACACCAAGCGTCGAGCAGCACACTGTATTTTAGATTTTACCCCAAAGTTATATATATTTTACAATGAGTCGTTTTCAACAAAAGTTGTGTACAATGTTCCCAGTTTTAACCTCTAAGAAAAAACTGTACAGTCATACTGTTCCAGACTCCACAAATGCGATAGCTAGGCATGCGTTACACATGTACCAACCCTCTCAATCGATGTAGCTTCACAACCTCATCGATTAACTTTCCCCTCCTGCCTAACACTTGGTACCTAGCCTCAATATTACTCACTCTATTATACCACCTAACATGGGAGATAGAACAAAGACGCCTATGATCAAATCGTTTTGTAGTATACTCTAAACTGCATTGCTTCATAACTAGCAATACTACCTGGATATCTGTCTGAGCCTCATTGAATTAAATTTTTTGTTTGGAATAAAATGATTGTTATTATTATTATTGTTATTAAAATATGAATGACATAGAGCTAATGCATCCGTGACATTCTGGACTATTTTCATGCGTGTCGTGAAGACTTCCCAACCATTGGTTCTTAGCATCTGGATAACCCCTGGTTGCTAATCTTCACCTCCATACTAATTAAATTGATGTCATATTTTGGCTTGACTTGTCCACACTTATTGGCCTAATTCTATACTCAGTTAACGTTACCAAGAAGGAGATGTTCCTGGATGCTTGAAACACGTATTTGCCATATCGTTGTGTGAATATTCATACCAACTTTGATTGACTTTGTTTATTTACCTCAAAATATTTCCAATATTTTGCTCCAGTTAACACTAAGAATTGACATTTATCATCAAATACAGCTATTCTTCCATTTGATTGATAGCTAAAAATCTCTAAACGTGGTGCAAGTTGAGTAATGTCTAGCATGCTGAGATTTCACCAATGACCAGTCTATCAGGTCTTATGCGATCGTCGAATTACTTGAAGCATTGAACGCATTTGACTAATCCATTTTCTGTGCATTAATACTGCATAAAATTACAGTGCAATCACAATTGTTAGTTAGTTAGTGAGATCTCAGTTACACACTACTAAGGTATAAGTCACACTTATTGTTTGTTTGTGTATGTGGGGAGCTAATGACACTACCCTTTTGCCTAGATAGTGATGTAGGTGAAGTGAGACTCGAACCCGAGACCCATTGACTGACGAAAAGTCGAGCTCACCTTGTAAGCAGAAGGTCTTGGGTTCAAACCCCAGTGGGTGTGTCCTGGTGAAGAGTCCCAAACTAGGTTAACGAAACAGATGTCCAGTGGCACCATTTGATAATTAACCTAATGCTCACCGGTGACTGGCTCTGTACAGGAAGTTACCTGGAGTTCTGGTGAGAATTCGTAACCACCAGTGGTGTCTACCAAGTCAGGTAAGAGATGAGATACTGGCCTACGACATTGGCTGGCGGTTGCGCTATATGTAGGTTACAGAAGCTGGGATTCACTAACTGGCCATTAAATCGGGTCCCAGTGGCTAAACGTTGTATGAGTTCGCCTTGTAACCGAAAAGGTACAAAATTCGCTTAATTTCTACTTCTTTGTTGTTGCATTTTGTGAATTTGTATGTAGAGAAAATGTTTTTAAGTCAAAGATCCTGGGTTTTGAGTAACTTTTGAGTTTGTTTTCACCCCTATATGTGACCACTACTATTGCCTTGAACAAATTTTTTTCTAAAGGAATAGAATACCTTGTTTACACTGATTGACTGGTTTCAACATAGAACTTTGCACCGATGTGCTTCAGTTCGAGTCGCCACACTTCACTGAGTACACAAAGCAAGAGAAGAAGAAGAAAGTACAAAGAAACACATAACAGATACAGTCAACAGAGATATGAGGCAAAAAGAATAGTAATATCGAAGAACGATATAGTTTTATTGGAAAATATAAGTCACAAGGAGCAGATGCATTTACGCCGCTAACAACGATTTTGAGCCACATTACCAGTTGTCTCCAGCCATTGGTGTTTACCGTCCCGAAGACCCTAACCAGGAAGTCTACATCTTCCTACGTAGCTTAAACTAATTGTTATGGATTTCATTGACTGATTAAGCCATGTTTTGGTTAGACCACCACTGGCTCTTTTCCAACCTGATCGATCCTATGTCAGCTAACATTACACGTCGAAGAAAGCCGTCGATGGCTAGGCATATGTAACACATGTCTTAACCATCTCAATCGATGTAACTTCACAGCCTCTTCTGTTGATTTCCCCTAACAACCTACTTTGTACTCAACCGAAGCATAGCCTCAATATAGCTCACCCTATTATACCACTTCACACGGGAGATAGAACTCAGGCACCTTTGGTCAAAGACAGCTAGTCTTTTCATGTCTTCCACTCTCAATGGCTAAATCTCACAGCTTTAAAGGAGAGAGGAGTGGATTACTGAGCAGTGCACAAGTCCTTTGGTCGACAGACAGCCGGATATGACGTCTACGTGAGAGACGGCGTAAACTGGCATTTGCGAAACGAGCCTTTTGTATGCGTGCTGAGATTTTGTCAATTATCAACTCGGTGGCACTAGCTGATGCAAATTCCCAAATAAGTGAAGTGGTCAACATGCTCCACTAACCACTTCACTCTCGTTCTTTATGCTAGGAATGAGTCGATGTAGTCCAGTCCTGTAGCATCATCTTACATTTGAAAGCAGGAGCGAATCGCATGCCGAACATTCTCAGATTGCAGCTCAAGGTGTTCAGAAGACCCTGTTTTGTCAGCGTCTTCACTGTTTGTTTTGTTCTTCGTTTTTACTATTCCTTTGTCTCACCTCTGTTTACTGTCTATATTATGCATTTCTCCTACTTTCTTCTCTTGCTTTGGGTGCTACATGGGGTGTGGCGACTTGAACTGCCGCACATATGTGCTAAGTTCTATGTTGAAAACAGACAGAGAGACAGCGTCTTCACCTAGAAGGACTATATCATCTGCATATTCTAAGTCAGCGGGATTATTCCCTGTTAACAAGTCAATCCCTGAGTCTCCGAAGTCAGTTAGCGTAAAGTCCATTAATGCATCTTTGATGAAATTCAATATAAATGGGGATAGTAGACATCCCTGTCGGACATCACCAATTATCACTACTTCAGATGACAACTCGCCGTAAGCTTTCACCTAGCTGCATGAGTTCGAGTAGGGTGAAGAAATGATGAATACACCCTCTTGCTTCCTGGTCCAAAGCCTGCCTGGTTCTCTCGTATTTGTGCCTTCCTGTACCTTGTTTAGGATATTTCTTATGTAGTTATCTTAAAACTTTAGTTGGATAACGTATTTTTGTTGTTAGATCATAGAACTTTCGATAGGTGAATTCAAAATTGTTAAGTTGTTTAAATCCTCGGTTTTCGAAATCGATAAATAAACCTTAAAGTAATTCGGTGGATAATGACTAGCAGTGGAATCCAGGATGTACACTTCATCCTATTTAAGGCTGGTCATCTGTTCCTACCTGCATTCTCTAGTGATTGATTGTGTTCCTCCACTTAGGCTCGTTTTTATTCTTTTTAATGGTTGGTCAACACTGGACGTGGAGATGGTTCAGCTGGCATTTGGAGTGTTTCTTTTTGTTTGAAGGATA